CCTTTCAGTGACTTGGCTCTGAGAGGGTCATCTTGCCTTGTAACAATCTAGCTCTCAAGGGTGTTAATCTTCCTGTGAGTTGGCTCTGAGAGGTCATCTTGCCTTGTAACAGTCTAGCTCACTAGGGTGTTAATCGTCCTGTGAGTTGGCTCTGCTGGGGTTAACTTGCCATGTTTCAGTCTAACTCGCAAGGGTGTTAATCGTCCTGTGAGTTGGCTCGTCCTGCCATGTTTGGCTCTGCTGGGTGTTAACTTGCTCGGGTTAACTTGCCATGTTTCAGTCTAACTCTCAAGGGTGTTAATCGTTCTGTGAGTTGGCTCTTGTGGGGTTAACTTGTCTTGTTTCGGTCTAGACACATGTTTTGGTCTGAAAAGTCACATGCAAGCTTCCCATATACTACAGAATTGTGTCTGAATCCTAGATGTCCAGGCTCAGACAAAAGCTGCTCATGAGCCCAAACCAGCACTGATGTGAAAACCTGGAAATGTTGACTAATGCGCTTTCAGTGCCTCACCATAGAAGCAATGGAGTCCAGTCCAGGAATCTCCTCCTCCTGAGGGTTGCCTGTCATCATTGTGTTGATGATTTTTAGCATATTAAAACTTTTTTCTCTTCTTTTTTAACAGTGAAATTAGTATGTGTGAAGTATTTCAAAGCAGGTGGAAATATTCATACATTGACAGGCTACATTCTGTTACTCAGGAAACCTTCCATTCTTGTTTCTTAACTTTATTGGAAAAAATATCTTTCTGTGATAAATTGGATTACTGTGAAGACATGTCAAGAATTTGAATGATGTCATTAGAAAGAGACCAAATGGTTTTTCAGATGCCTTTTTGTCATCATCCTTCAATGTGATGGAAATATGTTAAGGAATGTCTGAATGGGGGCATTGTTGCTCTTTTGTGAACACTTCAAATACTGTACTGACACAGATGTCAATATACACCCATGTCATGTTGATGATGAAATCCTGGCCAGCTGATCCTGAACGCCAAGTTCACACAGATGCCAATATACAACCATGTCATGTTGATGATGAAATCCTGGCCAGTTAATGCTGAACACCGATTTCACACAGATGGCAAGATACAACCATGCCATGTTGATGATGAAAATCCTGGCCAGCTGATCCTGAACACCGTGTTGACACAGTTGATCCTGAACACCGAGTTGACACAGATGCCAAGATACAACCATGTCATGTTGATGATGAAATCCTGGCCAGTTGATCCTGAACACCGAGTTGACACAGATGCCAAGATACAACCATGTCATGTTGATGATGAAATCCTGGCCAGCTGATCCTGAACACCGGGTTGACACAGATGCCAAGATACAACCATGTCATGTTGATGATGAAAATCCTGGCCAGCTGATCCTGAACACGAGTTGACACAGTTGCCAAGATACAACCATGACATGTTGATGATGATACAACCTGGCCAGCTGATCCTGAAAATTGTTGACACAGTTGATCCTGAACACGAGTTGACACAGATGCCAAGATACAACCATGTCATGTTGATGATGAAAATCCTGGCCAGCTGATCCTGAACACGGAGTTGACACAGATGCCAAGATGCAACCATGTCATGTTGATGATGAAAATCCTGGCCAGCTGATCCTGAACACCGTGTTGACACAGTTGATCCTGAACACCGAGTTGACACAGATGCCAAGATACAACCATGTCATGTTGATGATGAAAATCCTGGCCAGCTGATCCTGAACACCGTGTTGACACAGTTGATCCTGAACACCGAGTTGACACAGATGCCAAGATACAACCATGTCATGTTGATGATGAAAATCCTGGCCAGTTGATCCTGAACACCGAGTTGACACAGTTGATCCTGAACACTGAGTTGACACAGATGCCAAGATACAACCATGTCATGTTGATGATGAAAATCTATACATGCAAGCTTCATCAACTTGGAACATGTCATGTATGATCCATGAAATGACCTTGACCATTGGTGAGTCCTGAACACCGAGTAGAACAAAGATGCCAAGACTCTCCTGTCACTGTTGATATAGTCACAGATGGTTGGCCAATGATCCTGATCCCATTTGTGTAGATTGATCACAACCTGCCATGTTGATCACTGGATTATCTGGTCCAAATTCTAGATTTACAGACAGCTGGAATATTGCTGATGGTGTGGCATAAAACTAAACTCACTCACTCACTGCTATATACACACCAAAACATTGACACAGTCATGCAACTGAAGATACATGACCAGTATTTGCCATTGCATGGATATTGATGACCTTTTCTGCTTGATTATATATATGCGACATCAATTAAACTTCCCATGTACAGATACAACCTTTAGTGATTTTGGACTGAATATTTTTTTGAATCCAGTTGTCCAGCCTAGGAATATCAAAGAGATGCTACCCTTAGCTGGTATCCCTGCTTGCTCTCAAAATAGATTTGGCGACACTTGATACTCATTACAAATCAGCCCACCACTGGCAGTAGGACCGAGCGAGGCGGTGGGGGCAGTAAATATTCCTGTCACACACAATTAAAGCAGTAATGGGTGATAAGAATTTTCCATGTGTTGTGAAATTCCAAGAAATTATCCCTATGCAGGATTTGTTTAGTCTCTTGAAAATGAAGAAAATCAGGGCTCCTTTTCATTATATATATTTTTACTATGAACGTTTTCAGTAAATATGTTCATTTCAGAGAGTGGTGTTAATCTAAACTTGACCTGTGAGAGCTTGTTATGAGTATTTTACTACACTAGATTACATGTATTTATCTGTGAATTGATTACATAATACCTTCTAAGTGTTTGTATTCCACATGATTGATGACATTTAATTTAACAACACACTTTCAAGCCACTGTCTATCTCAGAAATAACGCGGTTCACGGAAGTTGAAATGGAACAAGGTAAAACACAACTTGCTGTTTGGGTGAATGGTTTCAGAGAGGGGTAGGTGTCAAAGTCATTACGCTTTTGATACCTTTTGGTTGACTCTGTGTGGACCATGTTTCAATTTGGCTTTCAATGGGTTTCCTTTTCAGTAACTTTGGCTCTGAGAGGGTCATCTTGCCTTATAACTGTATCTAGCTCTCAGAGTGTTGTAATCTTCCTGTGGAAGTTTGCTCTGAGAGGAGCCATCTTGCCTTGTAATGATCCAGCTCTCAAGGGGTGTTAATCTTCTGTGAGTTGGCTCACAAGAGAGGGCTGTCTTGCCTTGTAATGATCTAACTCTCAAAATTGTTAATCTTCCTGTAGGTTGGCTCTGGGAAGGTCATCTTGCCTTTGCAGCGAATACAAGCTCACTAGGGTGTTAATCGTCCTGTGAGTTGGCTCTGGTGGGGTTAACTTACCATGTTTTGAGTCTACTGTAATAGGTGTTTTGATAACTGAGATCGTTATGGATCAGGTGATAGGAAGTACAAATGAACGGTTGACAGAGTGCAACTCACAAGTGATTGTTTTGCAAAAAAACACCATCTTACTTTAAGGTCATTAAAAAATTTAATAAGCAAATAGAGACAAGCAATTAGGTTATTTTTATAAGGAAAATGCAGACACATCTGAGACAAACACAGGTTATTAGATAATGAACTAAACTGAGTGCGTACGACTGTGACGGCATGTAGTGTATGTGGTACACAACTACTGACAATATTGAAACCTTCAAACAGCAAATAGTAGGTAATCTGTGCTCTCTTTCCCAGGGCAGTGTTGGTTAATTTGAACATTTCAGAATAATCCCCTATTAGAGAATACTAATTAAATCAGAGGATAGATTGATTCTGGAGGGAAAGATTTATGCAAGAGGAAAGCATGATGTGTTGGCAATGTTGTTGCAGAGGAGTTAAATCCTGATTGGTATTCTTAGCACCCTTAGGGCATAGAGAGAGACTATTGTACAGACAACTAGTGCAAACTGAGATTGCCTCTTTGTACTGTCATTATGGAGTGTGTTTCCTAGGAATTGTTTTGTTACTTTGAAACAGGCAGTTAGATTGAGGAAAGGAAATTAGGAAGACCGTCTTGGGAAATTGTTTTTGATCTATGTGTATGTAGATTTACACATTGGGGATAGCTGAGCAAGAATTCACTTAGATGCAATTGAGGGTTCAATTGGTTAAAGACAAAGGGTTAAGAAACAGATTATCTTTGTCAACTGATTGCATTAGCAACTTTATGGAATGTTTGTATCAGTGAATAATAATTTGACATTTGGTATTCAACCCAAAAGGCACTGAGAGAATGTATAGGTAAGTAAGGTCATTACAGAAACTGAATGGTGTATTAGGACAAGGCTAACATGATGTACTCTTTCTCTACTAGATTAATACTAATAATACACTCTGTTATGACCAAGTTCTTATCATCTATGAAAGTCAGAACAAGTTCTTCATCATCCTCTTTTAAGATAAACAGTTGTTCATAACTGCAAACCTTCACCATGTAATCTGTTGCGATAATTGGCTGTATAATTCAGTGTTCAGTCAGAAAGAATGACGTGACACAAGATGTGCCAGTAAATACTGACGTCTATTCATACAAAAGTGTAAGTGTATGATGGTAATTGTCTAATTGATCTACTCTTTCAGTGAAGAATGACTGCTTTTGTGGTCCTTCAAAGTTACAATTACTGGTATTTGGATAACAAGGACCGCTTGTGTCTGAAGTGCTTCTAAACTACTGGTTCTGCGCCTGGTCCTGAACCATACATATAGCATTCCTGATGCTTCCTTGCTGTTTTCCATGTTCATTTTAGCAGTCATTGTCATATGGGTCAGAATCCTGCCAACAGTCCTTCCAGGAAAACTTGTGCTATTACAGGAGCTATTACATGTCAGCTGCTCAAAGTTTTCTATACTTCTAGCTGCTTATGTGAGAAATGTTTACTGTTAGTTTTACTTTTAGATTCAGAACAACATCCTTGAAATGATGGCATTGCGTTTCAATGAAGAATCAGTCTGATGTTACATCTATTTTTGGGTTATTTTTCAGTATGTCAGATTGAGCAGCTTTGACACACGCCCCGAGCAGGTTCTCCATCTCCTACAGAAACACTGGGGCCTTGACTTACCCAAGCTGCTCATCACTGTACATGGTGGCATCCTAAACTTTGACCTCCAACCCAAGTTGAAGCGAGTGTTCCGCAAGGGTCTCCTCAAAGCTGCCAAGACTACCGGAGCATGGATAATCACAGGTGGAACAAATACAGGTAAGTGGAGGAACATCCTCATGTTTCAGCACCTCTGCAAAAAGATTATCCCCTTTTAATTTCTGGGATGAATTTGACAGAAGCTACCAAATTTCCTTATGTGCACGACTTTTACAAAACTTTCTTTGCCAAGATTAGGCAGCTAATTCTTAATTTCTTGCTGAATAATCAACTTTTGCTTAAGTGGGATCATGTGATTTATTTTGAGATTTTTCTTCAGCTATCTAGGGTAGGCAACATTTTTCTGACATGTAGGAATATGACATCGATCCTGAATTATCATTTTAGTAATATGTCCGATGTCAAAAATGCAGAACCTTAACTGCAATATATAATCTGTAACTTTGGACAATGTAACAATGAAATAAAAAACTTGAAGCACCTTCTCTTCCCAGAAATGCTGTTTTCATCTGAATTTTATTAATACTTTCCTGTAATAGACATTGGTTCAGCTGTGCTCCCAGGTATGTAATTCTCACTTTGTAGCAGTAAGTCACAGTCGTGACTCGTCCAGGAGGCTCCTGTTTCACTGATCACCACCTACCCTAGATCCTGTTCCCTGGTACATGATTAGCTTCCAACTTGGTTTCCACACATTTTTTTTTCATTATATTAGCTGTAATAGTGCGTGGAATGCTGCTCATGGTTTCCGACATGTAGGGAGATTTGGGGTTGTAGAGGATAGAAGTGGATTAGCATCTTTTTATGAATGCCAATAGATTGTTTTGGAACATTTTCTAACAATTGTAGTTTTGAAAATCTAGATGTTTCCTCGAGTTCTTCATTATTATTTTATTCATTCTTTGATTCACCTGACTGACGGTCAAGTGGTCTTATGTCATTGTCTGTTTGTCTGGCAGCTGGAGTCTGCACCTGTAGACACAGTATCCTCAGAATCCAGTAAACCAGTTTATTTGAAACTTGTGTCCACCATTGCTAACTCATGCATTTGTTCAAGAGCTGCAGTGTTAAAATTTATTATTGCCCATTGCTTTTTCACTGTTTTTAAAAGAATTTGAAATGAAATATAATATCCTGGTAGAATGTAGTGGAGGATTCTAATTGTTAACATTGGCCCTCAATGGACTTTGACCTTGGTATTAACATTTATGATGTGGTGAAACTGCTTGATTAGGATTGATCCTTGCGAGGATGACATCATACTTCTGGTGGTGAATGAAGGTGAGCTACAGTGCCATGACACTAACTTGTGCATGAAAACTGAAAAATAGATTTACCTTGGAAAAGTTCAATTCCTAAATCTTTTATCTGCTAGTTACAAAATAAAAGTTAAAAATAACTCAGGCATTTAAGTAGGTTTCTAGTCTCTCCTATTTCTTAACGTGGATGTCAGAAGAACAGCCACCCTGTCTGTTAGGATGAAAGAGGTTATGTTTGACTTTAATAGAAACCATGAATGCTTTTTCAAATATTTTCAGTTTGGCCTTGATGATGCTTTCATTTTGATTATTGCAATGGGTTTGCCAGCTGTTCTGATATATGTACACTGTATGGTGTTGGAAGATAACCCGATTTGTCAATGGAGTACAACACAGGACTATTGATTGCAGATCAGTAACAATGTTATTTCATTTTGTCATCTGAAGATCTCTAGATCTGCTTCTCATCACTGTGTGTTGCTTCAACTGAAGTTATGTTTACAACTGTAATTATCTTTCAACTTCAGTGGCTTGGGCAAATTTAAGTCTATGATGTTCCTTGTAATGATTTTTTTGAAATACAAATAATCCAGATCTAGATCTGTGAAACAACTGTGCAATCATTTGTCATGCTGACTCTGCTTCTAAATATCCTGTGTTTTGTTGACTATCTTCAGCATGTTTGCATGAAAACAAGATGGTTTACACTCTGCAGACTGATAACAATATCTATACCATGTATACTGGTGGTTTGTTTCTTAATGTAAATGAAACTGTCCAATGTACATGAAAAACCATAAGTTTGAAAGCAGCAATGGGCCTTATGCCACAAGTGTTCATTTGCCAAGACCAGGGTTTGTTTCCCCCGATGGATACAATGTGTGAAGCCCATGTCTGGTGTCCCTCACCATCATGTTGATGGAATATTGCTGAAAGTGTCATGAAATCAAATTCTCACTCAGTTATAGTCCCCAGTACTCCATGTTTGTGGTAAATGCTGAAAACAGTGCGATTTGGCTGCCTCTTTCATTGTGCCAGATGATGTGAATTATTGCTCATGATATCGACCACGGGTGGAAAAGTCAAGATTTCATTACATGGCTTAAATGTTTGCTGCAGTGTCAAACAGTCACCCATGAAAAATTCATAATACAGTCAGCAAGGAAACTCCACATACCATTTAAATTCCGCTCTTTTTCTGGTCACTGGTTACAGGTGTTTTTGGGTTTTTGTTTTTGTTTTTTGTGGCTAAATCTGAACAACCAGAATTCAAATTGAACTTTCAAAAGTTCAATAGAACATGACAAGCTGATTTACTTCAGACATTGTTTGCTGTTGTCAATTGTTATTGATGATGATTGAGCCTGACAGAATGCATTCAGCAAAGTTGTTTGTCATCGCATGTTGCAGGTGTTACACGACATGTTGGAGACGCCATCAGCGACCGCACAACCAAGGCCAGGAACAAAGTGGTGGCCATTGGGATTGCCCCATGGGGGATTGTCGAAAACAGAGAGGACCTCATAGGGAGAGATGTGAGCTCTGCAACATTGTCATTAGTTTGTGATTAAGCCATGTGCCATCATGTGATCTGTTGTGTCGTCCATGTGACTGTTTGTGAACTTGTGTCAAGTGTCTCTATGTTTTATAAGTCACTGAGTGTCATGTGCCACTATTTCATGGTGAGTTGACATGTGTCATCTGCCACTTTGTGTCACTATGTTTCACAAGTCACTTTGTGACATATGAGACAAGTCACAATGTTGGGATTATATATCACCAAATCGTAAGTTGACATGTGTCACCTTATTTCATCATGTGTCATCTGTCCTTCTATCACCTGTCTGTAAACATCACATGATAAAAGACGAGGTAAGGCTGAAAGGTTCTGACTATGATGGACACCATTGACTGAAGTGGTTGTTATGTATATTTCACCTTAATTGCCTCCTTGGTCTACACACTTCCGTGGATGCCACTAGTGTGCAAGACTTCCACTTGGTGGTGTAAACTTCACCTCTCAGGATATGACATCATCATTATTAGCATAATGGTAGCCAGTTCTTTCCTTGTTGAGAAAGAGGTGGAAATGGGCCGGTGCCAAATCTGGTGATTGTTCAAAGAGTTCAAAGCCACAGTCAGGCATTGCAGCAATGGTGTGGGTTTTATGTCCATACAGACCTGAAGAATTAGAGAGGTTTAGTTTTTGTTTTTAGCAACAGCATTACTACTTTTGCCAGATCGAATGTTGTCTGGTTACAAAAGTAGTGATCAGTGTGACATTGTGCTGAAACTTTACATGGATGACTCAAAAGGGTTTCCCGGAAACAGTTTTTTCTTCAAAATCACCCTCTTTCAATTACAGTGTGACTGGAGGAAGTATTCTTTTGAGAAATCTTTTGAAACACAGCAATGCCTATACCATTATCAATCACACTTTTTGAAGCCGAGTTTTATTGCAAGTTGTAAGATCAAAGGTTTAAGGGTTGCCACCTTTTTGATAGTGTGGAGTCAGTGGTAATATATTGGAGCAATAAAATCAATGTTGCTGTGCCTTTCCTTTACTGTGATATTGATCACTTTGAGTCTGAGACAAGCAGACAGTGGAAATATTGGCCATATAGTTTTGGCCAATGTTTAAGTCTAAAAGGTCCCGTTGCAGAAAATTTACAGCAGATATTCACCTTTAATGGGAAATAATTCCTTCCTTCAAGAAGTATTAATCAATTTGCTTTGCTTGATAAAGTGTGGTTTAGGGATTTTATATTTCAATTAGGTGAATATATTTAGATTTGATAAGAATTAAGTCAATTTGAAGTAATTGATCACCTTCAAGTGCAAACATTCCAGAATTATTTATGTAGTAAATCCAATCAAAGACACATTTGTTCCATCTAGTTCACAAGATAAGTGATGCGTGTTGTGTTTACTGGGTCTTAATGTTCGTTGATGCCATTTTCAATTATGTTTCTATAGACTCATACACATTTCATCACACTCATTAGGATTTGTCCAGAAAGGTGATTTTGATAAAATAAAAATACAAGTAGATATCCTTGACTTACCAGATGGGGTTTCTTAGAGGAAGTATCAGAAATAGTCATTAAAAGTGTATATAGCACTTGTTTGATGATGTATATGAACACATCCTTCTACTCCCAGGTGTACACATAGTAATGATAATATTGTGCATTATGATGACAATATGTTGACTTCTCATTTCAGATAGTGGTCCCATATCATTGTGTATCTTCACCCAAAACCAATTCAGCCGTCCTTAACAGCAATCACTCCTACTTCCTCCTGGTGGACAATGGAACCATGGGAAAGTACGGGGGCGAGATTCTCTTCAGGAAGAAGTTGGAGAAATACATTGCCCAGCAAAAAATATGCATAAGTAAGCAGCCTATGATTAAATAAATGTGAAAAATATAATTTCAATTTGGGTGGGATAGCTTTCATTAAGAGATGAGATTCATGCTGTCTGGATTGTAACCAGCAGCCATTTGTGACGAAATCCACTGATCGCTTGACCGATTTCTCAGATCCACACTGATTTTGATTCATGTTTTTCACCATATCTATGCTTGTTGGTTTCACCAAAGTGGCAGCATCAGTGGGGGTTTTCCTGACATTAATTACATTCAGCATGATATATATGAAATACTGTTCAAAGCACCACAAACACAACCTGCTTACCCGGTACTTGTATTAGGGACACAGCAGGAATGGGTTGACACAGCCTAGTGAGGAGTGTCTGTAATGACAACCAGAGTTGACATCCTCTGTTAACAGTTGTAGGACAGTGTGCTGGAACATGGTAATGTGTACAGTCCATGTTCGCCAATGTTGCTTGCAGAGAGTATCTGGAAGGGTGAATATGTTTCCAGCTTGGCTTTTTGGCTCCTGATTGTTCTTGGGTTTCAGTCCTGCCCCAAACTCAATCACTTGTAGCACATGTGGGGTCTCATTAGGCGAGTGGCCCTGTTCAAATGTGCCTCTGTTCACCCGGTATATTAGATGGTAATATGACTGTTAACCTTCTGGACCTCACGGATTGGTTGGGTTGCACACTCCCTAAGGGAGCTGGGAATTATTATTGTTATTTCTGAGATATTCTTTGCCCCAAGAAATCTTCTGTAGCTGAGCTGCAAAACCAAGAATGGTCTACCTGTGTACTGATCCAACTCTGTGGTTGCACTTATATTAAAACCATTGAGATAAGTCAAGGCTTTCCTTGCACACTGACTAAACCATTACAGTCTTTTGATCCAAGCCATGTTATTTCTTGATGTTAATTCTCTGTGTTTCTTATGTAGGAAACAAGAAGTGTTGTATATAGACTAAGTGGGCCTTGCTTCATTCCATCTTAACTAATCTCTTCAGTCATGCATGCACAGTGGTTCTAATACTGTCTGCACTCAGGAAGTTGGATGTGCAGAGATAGGTATCAATTACACATCACATATTCTCTCAGGTAATGAACACACGTAGCTCAACATGTTACCCTGTTATTGGGGTAATCCTATAATTCGGTGTACTTCCAAGTATCCAACAAACTTCGCCATGTGCTGAATATGTGGGTTTTTGGATTACCATTGCATGTTTCGTGAAAACAGTAATATTTATAACAAGGCAGGCCTCACCAGTGCTTGACTTGTAGTGTTCCATGTAATCACTGCATTTTTTCAGTTAAAATATCTGCAAAAATGTAAAAATAACTTCATTTGGACATGTGCTTCAATGGGAACAATTTTTTTATGAAATTGAAATGCTTCAAGATCGTGGTTGCTATTGATTATTGTTTTCATGATGTTAACAGTTTCATTTCATGTAGATTTAGACTAGACAGAACCTGCTGAGTTGTGTTAATTTAACACATCGGTCATTGCTGCTTGGACGTTATAGTAGCATCAAATTTTAGTGGGCAAAACCTGTCATAGTTATAGCCTGGGAATGTTTCACTTGACCTTGATCCATTCACTTGATCCATTTGGAGGTTTGTGAAACCATTTGCTATATACATGGTCATTGTTCTCCAGGCTAGCTATTCTCAAAACTTCTTAAGCCCTACGAACTTCTTAAGCACATTCTTAACACATTGGCTACGATGAACGTTTCGAGAATAAGGGCCCAGGGTGCCGTTGTACAAAACGATCTTAGCGCTAAGGTGGCCGTAACTCCCATACCTTAACATAAACTTAAGGTAACCTTAGCGCTAAGGTTGTTTTGTACAACGGCACCCTGGACTTTATTGTCAACCTTCCCCTCATGTGTATGAAAACTAGCTGTTGAGTGAGTGAGTGAGTTTAGTTTTACGCCGCACTCAGCAATATTCCAGCTATATGGCGGTGGTCTGTAAATAATCGAGTCTGGACCAGACAATCCAGTGATCAACAGCATGAGCATCGATCTGCGCAATTGGGAACCGATGACATGTGTCAACCAAGTCAGCGAGCCTGACCACCCAATCCCGTTAGTCGCCTCTTACGACAAGCATGGGTTACTGAAGGTTCATTCTAACCCGGACCTTCACGGGTCACTAGCTGTTGAACTATTCCAAATAGCGACAACATTTAACTGACATTTGCTGTGGCCTTATGAGACTTTCAGTTTGAACCTAACAATAGTCTACATTTTACAATCCGAAATTGAATTTTTTAATCATCTTTCCAACTATTTGTGTAACTGACGACATGAATTATTGCCTTGAGAATGTTTGCACTGCCTGAATATGGAATCCTCTGTAATCTCCCTCTATAACATACAAAAACTGTTAGCAGCACTTCAAAACCACTGGAGCCATTAAGCTAAGCTCTGACATCAATGATATTACCAGTAGTCATAATAGGATTGTTCATACAGCTATTACAAAAAATATTCTTTAAAAAAATACACCATTATTTCAAACAACTTTTGGGGTTTTTTTTGTCTTGATGTTTTTTATTTGTAATGCCATGTAATGGTTAAATATGATTGAGTGGAGTATTTTGGTTAATGTGTGCTCTTTTTTTATTGCCCCAAATTATAGTAATGAAAGATACAGGACCTCTAAGAACAAAATTCATGTCTCATTTACCTGGGAGTTAATTACATTTGTCATTTTACTTTCATCATAGAAATCAAACCTGAACATCAAACACAACGTACTCAACATTCCACACCCACTCCCTGCTCCCCACTCCCTGCTCCCCACTCCTCACACCCAAGAACCTTAGCTGCTCCCCATTCCCCTCTCCTCACATCCAGCATTCTTATCCACTCCCCACTCCCCTCTCCCTTCTCCCCACTCTCCGATTCTCCCCCCACCCCTCTCCTTTCTCCCCCGCTCTCCCGATTCCCCCTCCCCTCACCCCCCTCTCCCTTCTCCCCACTCTCGGACACCCCCTCTCCCCACACTCCCATTTTCTCCCCACTCTCCGATTCCTCCATTCTCCCCCTCCCTTCTCCACACTCTCCGATCCCCCACTCCCCCTCCCTTCTCCCCCCACTCTCCGATTCCCCCCCTCCCCACTCCCTCTCTCCCTTCTCCCCTCTCTCCCACCCCCCTCTCCCTTCTCCCCACTTCCTCCGATTCCCCCCTCCCCACACCCTTCTCCCCTTCTCCCCACTCTCCTTTTCCCCCCCCCCCTCCCCCTCCCTTCTCCCCACTCTCCGATTCCCCTCCCCACACACCCTCTCCCTTCTCCCCACTCTCCGATTCCCCCCTCCCCTCCCTTTTCCCCACTTTCCGATTCCCCTCCCCACTCTCTGATTCCCCCCTCCTCCCCACTTTCTGATTCCCTCCTCCCACCCCTTCTCCCCTCTCCCTCCATTCTCCTCCCCACACCTCTCTCTCACTCCCCACAACTCACACCCAACATCCTTACTCCTCCAAATCCCACTCCTACATTGCACATCGACTCCCAACACCCCACCCACACATCCCCCACCTCCCATCCAAAATACTAACTCCTGCCCAAACTCCACCCTCAAACACCCAAGTTTTGTAAGCCCTAGTATACCATACTCAACCAGATCTCGCATGACTTCCCCCGTCACTGAGCCTTGTGATATTTTTAAATTTCCTCCCACAAATCTGAAAGTGGTATTTGAAAGACAGTTAACAAAACTAATTCTCTCCTCCTCCTAGGAATCACCAGATGGTAATCATGAACACATTACATTTATGACTGTATTTGCTTGCAGCCAGTGGTGTGAAAGGTCGTGGTGTGCCAGTGATCTGTGTGGTGCTGGAGGGTGGGGCCAATACCATCCGCTCAGTTCTGGAGTATGTGACAGACACGCCTCCTGTCCCCGTGGTGGTGTGCGATGGGAGCGGGCGAGCAGCCGATCTTCTGGCCTTCACACACAAGTACACCATTGATGATGGGTGAGAACAGCAACAGTTGCAGCAGTGCTCACAGAGCTGCTGCTATTGGAAAGGAAAGAAATCAGATGTACCTATGACTGATTGTGTGACATTTGTGAGAAACATTTTGCAACAAAAATGACTTTTAGTCACAGTAAAAGCAGCTCCTTATTGATGGACTGAAGGAAGACCCTGCTGGAAACTGTCACTGATGGTATCCGATCGGTCTGGGCTTGCATCATGTGATACATGGACGATATATCAAAATATTTTATGAAACATTTCTGAGTTTACAAACAAACTTTGCTGTTTTGACAGATTGCTTGTAATATTTATTCCTTTTTAATAATATACAATGAAGGACTAAAACCATGTTTTAATGTATCTGAGGAGATAAAACTATTTTTGATGTACCGGTAGTCCAACTTAATGACTACAAAGATATTTTTGCTTTTCAGCATATTTTTTTACCCTATCTTAGGTAATTTCCACAATCAACTACAGTGGCCAATTTTTAGAAATGTGTCTAAGTTTAACTCAGTAATGTTATAGGATATTGTGATTGTTTGCTAATGAATGTATGTTGCAGCACAATGCCGGAGAGTCTACGTGATCAACTGATCATGACGATACAGAAGACATTTCAATACACCCAGGAACAGGCAGAGAAACTATTCATCGAACTCATGCTGTGTGTCAAGAAAAAGGAACTGGTATGTTTTGGGAAATGAGATCTCTAAATGCTGAAATCAAAAGTAATAAGTAGGAATTTCTGGCAGTGTCAATAACGAAACCAACTGCTTAAGATCTTCTTTTCTTTTCCATTTTCACTTAAAATGATATATTTTTCTGTAAGAATATTAGAGATATTTACACGTCTACAGACAGATCCAGGAGAGGATATCCAGACAATATATTTCTGGGTGTGATGAAGTATCTGTAGAATGATGGCATGAAAGGAACAATCTGATTCACTGGCAAACCCATAGTCTGTCCACAAAGCATGTTACAACCATTTTTATTTTGTTCATTATTGTCTGTTGCACAAGTTGTTTAGGATAGTAGTTGTACTTAGTGAAGGCTTGTTTTAGGTGATTTAGTTTGGTTGTAAGCTGTTGCCTACTGGAACAGATGCTCTGAGCTCATCTTGCTAGGGCTGAGATAATGTCAAACAGACAATAATGAACAGCATGAAGAAGAAACAGAAATGTCCTCCTCAACATTCAGCCCCCTTTATCATCAGCCTCCCCTACTATAGAACCAATAGCCACAAAATGTAAACACTTTTAATCAAACAGGCTAACACTGATGTAGTTTTCAAAAGAAGTATAACCATCCAAAAACACCATATGAGCCACCAGCAAACCAACATCCACCCAAATACAAGAACTTCTTGAAAGAGTATACCATATCCTGTGTAATTGTGAACATGCTTACATCTGTGTAACATACAGAATAATCAAAACCTGAATGAAAGAACATCACAGCTCTACACTAGGCTTGAAAGCAGCCCTATCTGGCAATATCCGTGCCATCCCCCAACCACAGCTTCAAACAGGACAAAATTAAAGTCCACACAAACAACCTCAAAGAATTCAAAATCAGAAAACCCCAGGAATCCATCCACATCAAAAGACTTCAACCATCCATCAACCATGACCAAGGCTATTACATACCCCCAGCTTACTCATTAAAGACCTCAGGCAGACATAATCCTTCTGTGTTTTTACATGACTGGTTTCATGTACAAGGACTTTAATTTTCTTAGATCTTCTACTGTGTATACTTAATAGGATTCTCTGCTGTTGAGAAAACACCACTTCATGTCTATATCTATGCCTCCTAAGACTGCACTGGCTTGGTAACAGTGCTAAAACTTCACCAAAACGTCGCTCCTCATTGTAAATAGAGAAGATGTTCATCCATGTATCTTATCTTTACTTATGTTATAACCCCTGACTCTGCCCTTACTCTTCCAACAGAGGACCCTCTCCAGATCAATATCAAATGTCTTTACCAGTTTCCCATAGCTATGCCTGTATCAAGTGGCTGTACCAGTTTCACATAGCTATGCCTGTATCAGGAGGCTGTACCAGTTTTACATAGCTATGCCTGTATCAAAAGTGTGTACCAGTTTCACATGTGCCACTGTCAAGTGATACATCGCATCAAGAGAAGTATTTCACTGTCACTAATCCTATGTTCTGCCTGGGGACACATGCTGGGCTATGTGCAGAGCTGTGTGCAGAGCTGTCCCTAAGCACCTCCCATGACAGTCACAGCTGTCCTCATCAGTCTATGAATATCATTATGGGCATGATCAGTGGGATTTACCGCCAGCTTGTAGTGCCCTTTAAACAGAATATAATATTTCTTGGATATCCTTCACTCAGCTATCGTGTATTGCATTGTCAATACGTGTAGTAGTGAGGAAGACTTTTGGAGGTTCTTAGCTTAATGAAATGCTTCTTCTAACTATTTGTCTCTACTTTCGACCTATCCCAGTTCAAAGCGGTAATCATCTTTGGCCCTTGTAGACAATATTGCAAAGACTTTTTTTCCATCACCCAAACTAACATGATGTTTCTGTACATGTTGTGAAAGGCATCAGATTTTAAAATAATGGTTAGCATAGATTTTAATACAAATGGAGTATTTAAGTCATTTCAGATCTGAATGTAGTTTCCATGGCAACCAGCAACCAAATTAATGAAAGCTAAAGACAGTTTGATTAATTTTAGCTTGTGGTTTATAAGCAATAACTTTCCACATTGATGGCATGCTTTTCCCTTATTTGAAATGTTAACCTGTGCTGTCTAATATCCCCGGTAGAAAATCCATTAAAACCTGATGGGTAGCAAAGCCCATACGTCTACTTTTCACTCAAAGTGTCTGTTGTGAGATATGAGCTTTCTCAGCCATATGACACACGGAAAGAAAACAAACAAAAAAACAAAAACACACACTCACACACACTCACACTCACTCACTCACTCACTCACTCACTCACTCACTCACTCACTCACTCACTCACTCACTCATACAAGATCCAGCATTATGTAGCAAGGTGACTCTTAACTGAAACACAGAAGTTAAATTTGCACATGAGATCAATAGAGATCAGGTGTTCAGGTTGTTCAGTGTGTTGAAACAGGCCTGTCTGTTGTTGAATTCAGAATGGTGTTTGAATCTGGAATTGTGCTTCCACATAGGTATTCAAAATATGATTTGCAAGTAGATCAATAACAAGTGGAATCTCCCTCTTGTCTCTCTCATATAGGTACAACCATACTGGCCCATGCGGGAACCTCTCAAATGATCTAGTCTGCATTGTGCATGTGCACTACTGGGCCAGACATCTCTGATTCTAGCACAAAAATATTATGGAAAGTTCAGTTCACTCCAATTTCATTAAACTCGGGTCTGAGACATCACATTACACATCACTTCTGAACCTCATATCTTGAACATCCAATGTAATGACAGACTGGAACATGAGCCAATGTAAAGACAAAGCTTGATGGCAACAGTTTGAAAATGGTGTCTTCCATTTCAGACTATCTTTGAAGAATATTTTCATGAAGTTCTCAATTCAAAATTTCTGTGGTAATGGTAAAAACTGGCTGAGATTTAGAGAAAGTATCTTCGTTTTGAAATGTTTCAGTGTAACAAGTACCAAGATCCTATTTTACTGAGGTAGTACTGGCTGCTGTCTATTGCTGAAGGACACAATAGAGTTTATGGTAAATAGTTGGTCCTATTTACAACTTTGATTTACTCATTTACCTAAAAAGACATTAAAATGATGGTGCTTGTTGGTGGTTAGAAGCTGTCTGGCTCTCGCGCATTAATGGGTACAACAAGGACTGGTCTGCTTGTTGGAGTCAGTATAATGTGTACAACAGGGACTGGTGGGGAGTCAGTATAATGCTTCACTGCGGCATGCTTGGCATCTCAGTGGGCTAGCACTATAAAACCAGCTTAAGTCTGGGCTAGTACAAGCAGCCACACATACACATACACATGCATGCACGTCATCATATGAGCAAAATATTCTCAAGCACGACGTTAAACCCAATTTCACCTCACCTCACATAGAATGACTGACACATAACTCTTGGCTGACCTGACTGTGTCTCTTCCAGCATTTTGTTTCTAAACAAATTAAGGAAAAGCTTCTTCAATCATAACATCCAAGTATTACTCTGGATGACATTGTAATTTCAGTTTTCTGTGGTCAACTTATATTAGCAGCCTGACTTAAGATTTGGAACAACCTGTTAATTTTCTACATCAGTCTGCACACTAACTTCATCAGTTGAACTAGTGCAAGGGAGATAACTTCCAAAAATCAATAGATGAGCTGCACCATCACAGAGTACATGTAGTTGTAGCAGGCGGATCACATCCCTTGGTCATCTGTCTACACACACACACTGCTCTTCTGTTTCAGATAACAGTATTCCGAATGAGTGAAGGTTCCCAGGATATTGACTTGGCCATCCTCACTGCTTTGCTCAAAGGTGAGTTTGTGAGTGAGTGAATGATTGAGTAGGACATAAGCTTCTTATAGCCTTGGGGGCGGTGGGGTAGAGTGGTTGAAGAATGGCTCGTAAGAATCCCCACATGGGTACATTTGTAAGCCCATTCTGGTGTTTTGAGCTGGAATATTGCTAAAAGCTTTTTTTAGCCTTGTCCAGCTCAGTGGAGCACCCTGAGTATTACACTTGGAAGAAAACCAAGGTCTTCGATGATATGGCCTTATGCTGCCCACAAGTGTTATATCCTGAAAACAGATGAGACATCACATTCAAGACTATTGCACTTTTAGAGCGTTATGCATGTTTGCAAGTGTGCTTGTCCTAGTCCAGACGAGTGCTGGTTTTATTTCACTTGTCCAGTGAGATAATAGCCACAGTTTAACATAGATAATAAATCAGGCACAGTCTATTACGTCTGTGCCTACCTGTCCTTGTTTCATTCTCTTAAGGATAATCACCAGGCCGTGTAACAACAAGTATAATCTTTTAACATCTTTTGGTATGATCAGGCAGCTGATTGAACCCCTGAGAGTCGGAGTCATGATATGTCCTAGTTGTAAGTTATTTCATGTAAGAAAATGTTAATCTCATGTTGGAATTTAGGATAAATCTGAGACCGTATTGATTTTGTCATTGTTCTTATTGTGTTACTTTCTGTTTAAGCTTTCATCTTGGTCTGATGGTAAGGTTACGACCATACAATCAGTCCTGTTATTGGAGGGAAATATTGTGATTATTAAGAAATATATGACACATTTCCTAATAAATGGCCAATATATTTAGTTAGGACTGTAAACTGTAAATAAACTGAAGAGATTTGTAGCTTCAAGTAAACAATAATAACTGCTATGGTGTGTTCCAGGTACCAACGCAAGCGCTCCTGACCAGTTGAGTCTGGCACTCACCTGGGACAGAGTGGACATTGCACGCAGCCATATATTTGTGTATGGACAGGAGTGGCCAGTGAGTCAGATACAAGTCATTCTGCATGTTACCAGCAGGAACAGAGGAGATACAATAGCGTGGTTGTGGGGAGGTCTTCAAAGTTACCTCCCTTTAATATTTGGATCATTCAGAGCATGGGACTTGATATGAAATTGTTGATATTGGATATCTGTCAGAATGTTTTATTCGAACAACAGGTGTGAAGACATGTAGCCTTTATGGATTTGAAATTCTTTGTTGTTTGTTATACACAAAAAGTCTTCATGCTCATCCAACTTCTAAATGTTTATGGGGCGGTGGGGTAGCCTAGTGGTTAAAGCGTTGGCTCGTCACGCCGACTACCCGACTACCCGGGTTAGAATCCCCACAAGGGTACAATGTGTGAAGCCCATTTCTGGTGTTCCCCGCTGTGATGTTGCTGGAATATTGCTAAAAGCGGCGTAAAACCAAACTCAGGCAGTCAGTCTAAATGTTTATGAAAGACTTGATTTTGTGTAAAGGCTTAGAAAATATGGAATATTTACTTCAAGGTTTTTTTTCCCATATCATTGAAGGAATGTGACTATATTTTTATTTGTTTTTGAACATGTTAATGACATTACTTCCTGTTTCATGATATGAGATACATTACTGATTACAGTATAGACATTTTCTCAACGAGCCAGGCTTCATAGCTTCATCCTTCATGTTCATTCTTGATGAAACACTTGACACTCCAGGATATGCATGATGCTAGAGGTATATCATATGTTTCAGGAAGGGTCCTTGGAGCAAGCAATGATGGATGCCCTAATCAACGACCGTGTGGACTTTGTGAAGCTGTTGCTGGAGAACGGAGTCAGTATGCATACCTTCCTCACCATCCACCGACTCGAGATCCTCTACAACACGGTGAGATGCAGCCATTTCTGGCTTTCACATGTTTTACTACATGACAAATTGACAACAGTCATATGGGTGTTTTTAGCTCCATTTGAGTTGTGTGTGTACTCTTGTCAGTGTTCTTCACTTGAGATCTGGTGCATGTTGCCAACAATTACCTCCCTTTAACAGGATCTCCTGAATGTTGGTTCAAATCCAGGATTCTCCAAGATCTGGTCTGTCATCCATCTATATTTTCTTTCAAATTATAGGCCTTAGTCCAACACTAATTATGTTATCTGAAATGCCATGAAAGAACTGAAATACTTTAAATGGCATGAAATGCGACTCACATAACATATTATTTTTTCTTATCCTGACTCATGATCTTTTGCTTATCTCCCTTTCCCTTGCGAATGGTAGTGGAACACTTGAATCCCTTGAAGTTCCCGAAGCGGACGTAAAAATACACTCACCCACGAGTTACCTCCCTTTTCCCACGTAAACAGTCATGGATCGGGTGAGGAAGTCATCACAAGTCACGGCTGATAAAACAGGAGATCAGCCTGCAAACTGTATGTTACTTGCTACTGCTGAAATTCATAATACTGGTGCAAAATGTTGAGTAATACGGTGCTATGTTGAGTGCGTTGCAGGGTCAGTCTGCTGGTACGGGGGTCAACAAGAGATCGGCTACAAAGCAGTTGACTCAAAATCAAGCTAAGAAAAAGACGTCGTCTTCTTCTACGTCGCAAAAAGAAAGCATCTGTTACCAGATCGGAGGGTAAATCTACGCGGCCTAGTAAGTCAACGCATCCTTCAACGAAGAGATATTACCTCCACATGAAGTAGACGTTTTTGATGATCCCCCGTTACTTCTACCCCGAAGTACCTACGAGATTGGTGACTCAATCGACTTCCATGACTACTAAATCGTCTCCTGCAAATGTCACAGCAGGCCAGCTGTTTGACGAACTACCACGAACTTCTTAACGGAGTGAAGTCGAGACACACAACTCATCAGCGTTGGCGAATGCTTCATCTACACCGCAGCAGCTTCAATCAATGCAGAACTTTGATCCAGGTGAATTTATGAGACAATTCACCAACCAGATTATGGCCATGAACGTAGGTTCGAGGAAGAAGTGAAAGCCGGCTAGGGCCTCTCATCTACTGACATCGTGCACAAACCTACAGACCTGCGCGAACCCACGGACCTGCGCGAACCTACACCTCATAGAACTACGTCTCAAGACTACGTTGGCGAACGTACACCTTTGCGAAGGTCTCCACAGTCTGACGACTCTGTCATCTTGGAGGAGGATAGAAGACATGAGATGTCTACTCACCGTTCTACATTTGCGAACCCTCAACGTTTGAGAACATCGAAGGATCCATCTCCTACATCTAGCCGCTCTAGATCGAGATCTCATATCTCTCATACACGTTTGCGAAATCACTCAAGGTTCGTGAAGGTATACATCTAGCGACAGAGGTTCGCGAAGAGATGAATCCACAGATAGAGGTTCGCGAAGATAGGACTCTCAAGATAGACGTTCGCGAAGGGAGGAATCTTCAGACAGAGGTTCGCGAAGGGATGATGGAGGTTCCAGATTTTATGTAGGCCAAATTGCTACAACACCGGTGACGTCATGCTTGAAGCTGATTGGTCCACGTCAGACAACGCCTCCCACTGACAGAGCAGGCACCAGCAAGTTTACTGACTTGTAAACAAAACCATGGTATGGGGGAATACTTCATCGGCAGCCTTGGAAACAGTATACAACTACGGCTTGTTATCATCATGGGAATCTAATAGATGTCTAGCCTTGACAGCAGCATAAACGATGTTTATTTTGGAAGTTGTCGCTGTTAAAAGTAGGTATGAGTACCTGTCCTCTGCGATGCTACACTGGAGCCAGCCTTGCTATAAATAGACAACGCTTCGGTGTATGCTGATCAACACAGATCGCCTGCGTATATAAGGGGAAGAATGATGTATCATCACTGTAATCAGAGGTTAGCACTTCCAATGGAACGTCCTACCATTTGGAATATCGTCGGCTCTATGATTATTCATACAAATAACCAAGCCTATCGGCACCTATCTGCAGCATCAAGGTCTACGCAGTGCCGGTTATCTGGATGACGGCATACAGGTTCTTCAAAGTGCCAATCAACTCAGACAGCAGCTGAACTTCACAATTAAGTTGCTCACGCAACTAGGATGGCTAGTGAACCTGATGCAGTTGGAGTTAGAATCAAACAAGATCTTCAATTGCTTGGAATAAGAATTATCACAACACAGAATCGAATTGTGGCCCCAGAAGATCATTTGGTCAAGATACAAGCCATGATTCCACAAGCAGTCATCTCTCCGTTAACACTATGAACATGGCAATGTCTACTCGGTCTACTAATCTCGGCGCAGGACTTGACTCGCACAGGAAAGTTACAACTAAGGCTGCTGCAACGGCTCCTGACAAAACATCTAGACAGCGTCAACCCTATCTTGCTGCCAGACAATCTTAAGAGGTACCTACTTTGGTGGACACACAGGTCGAACGTCTGTGGAGGGACCTATTTACACGAGCTGGCCTTCGACACACATCTCTACATAGATGCATTGATACAAGGTTGGGGGTGCACATCTCAACAATCTAGTTGCATCAAGGAAGTGGCCCAAACAGAGCAGCATCTTCACACCAATCTGCTGGAGATGAAAGCTGTGATCAACGCCTTACAACTATGGTCGAGCTTGCTGAACATCAGAATGCTGATGGTCCACATGGACAACTCTACTGTGGCATTCTCCATAAATCGGCAAGAATCTACAGGATCACCAAGCCTGCTACAGCTCACATTCCAGTTGTTTGACATCACGGAGGAGGCAAACATCTGGATAAAGGCGTGTCACATACCCGGAGCCAAGAACGTGCTTGCAGACACTCTCTCCCGACCACTGCACCCATCACGTACGGAATGGATACTCCATCCAGAAGCATTTCAGCTCATCATAAGGGAAGTGGGATCCCCATGCATAGACCTGTTTGCCACGAGGTTCAACAAACAACTACAGACGTTTGTCTGTCCACTTCCAGATCCTCAAGCCTGAGCAACAGATGCACTGAACATATCATGGGAAGGACTAAACGCTTACGCGTTTCCACCCCTGATATTACTACCGAAGGTACTGTTGAAGATCAAACAGACACAGGTGCTACAACTGACTTTGGTCGCGCCATACTGGCCAGCGAGAGTATGGTTCCTAGACCTAATAGAAGATCTCGGAAGTCCAACAATTAAGTTACCAGATTGGCCAAACCTACTCATACATCAGCACACCAAGCAAGTCCACGGAAACCCGACACTGTTCCAACTACGCGTGTGGACCATATCAAAACCTGTTTGAAGAAAAGAGGATACTCCGCCAGGGCACCAAGGCAGTTACGCAAGCGTTACGCAGATCTACTCGTAACCTGTATGATGGCAAATGACTGAATTTTTAGACTTATGCAAGGCGGAAAGGCTTCATTGCGATGAAAGCTACTCATCCTCAAGTGGCAGAATACCTGTGTTATCTAGACTAGACATCTGAAAGGTTCGACATTATCTACATACCTCGCCGCCATCAGTACAGTGATTACCATGAAAACAGGCATCAAGTTGACGAAAGTACCAGAATTACTTGCTCTGCTGAGATCTTTTAAACTGGAGGACCAGCAAAAGAAGTTCAGAGCTCCGGCCTGGGATCTGAATGTAATTCTACGTCATCTTATGAGTGATGCCTACGAACCTCTAGACCAGACTACCTTCGAGTTGCTGACACAGAAGACTCTGTTCCTGCTTACTCTAGCCATGGCAGCTCGAATATCAGAGATACATGCGCGCTGGACTTTGGTCGAACCAGATTCGACACGGGTCAACATACTGCAGTTCATCTAGGACTTAGAATTGCTCTATACCAGCAATTATGGAGGGCTGCTTTTGGACGTCTCAGGCATTCACCAATTTGGGCCTCTCATTGTAGCACAGCAACTAACGGTTCCTCAAAGGCACTGAGTTGGAAAATCTCACCCTTTATCACGTTGACTTGTTGATAACTTTTACTAAGGAAAAGTATTAGTTTGAAAGTCCATGCACACAGTCTAGGACAGACTAGCATGAGTGATTAAAGATCCTGTACGGGCAAAGATCTTACCTGTACGTGAAGGGGTTGAACTCATTTATGATAAAGATCTTATCATAATCTATTGGTTGTTATAAGATATCTAGTAATAAGAAGATACTAGTTTATCTGAAGCCACATGAATCAAGATGATTCAACTTGTCTGAGATGGAAGCAAGACAAGAAGTGGAAGAATAGGATTTCGGAAATGCCGCTACGAAGTTCCCATGGGGAGGGGGATACAGGTCGTATCTAAAGGATAGCTGATGAATCCAGGAAGTGGCCTGACTGACAACCAATCCGCAGAATTCTATAAGCAAAAGATCATGAGTCAGGACAAGAAAAAATATGTAATTTTTCAAGTAAAATTGATATATTTTTCCTTATCCTGACTCATGCTCTTTTTGCTTGTCTTCTTCTTCTTGCGAACATAGTGGAACACTTGTATCTCCCTAATTGAAGCTCCCTTCAATGTAAAATCACTAATTAGTACTCACCACGAGTTACCTCCCTTCCACAAGCGCGGGAACGAGGGCGCCACCTCCACCCATGTGCCTCACTCTCTCCTTCTTCGCCCAGTGAGCTGGACGTGAGAGCGCCTGTGTCTCCCGACACACTATATCCTTTGATTATATTTAGTTAGTTACCTCGTATAGACATCTATAGAGGTTTAGCTAGTATCCTTCAACAATTATATATTGATATTTAGTCGTGTTTCTACTGTTTATTCACGGGACGCCGTGTTTGTTTCAGTGGATTACGTTGATAAAAATTCTGTTCTGTTGCAGATTACGTTTTTTATTCTGCTGCTGATCCGCATTTAATATGCCCTAGTTGTACTGCGCCATGTTCATTTTATTCA